GGGAGTGGAAACAGCCGGCCTGCGCGTAAAAAAAAAAAGGGCCTGGCGTGGGCTTCCGTTTGGCTGCCCCCGCCAGCCAGTTTGCTGAGGCCAAGCCCAGAAAGTTGCAGCCGCATGCACCCTGCATGTTTTGTTCTTTGGCTTGGAAACCTACTGGTGGTTTAAACCATCAGTACCACAGAACCCACTTTCACAAACCACAAAGAAACTACCAACCCTACCGTCTTCACGCGAAAATAATGCCCGGGAGTTGTATACAAATATGATGCCCGCCGGGCGATATATTCGTTTATAACGCCCGGGCGTTATATTCAGTAAATTGGTGGCAACTTCGGCGGGGGCCCAAAGTTCCGAAAAAAAATTCAAAAAATTCTGTAAAAAAAAATATGTTGTCCAGAATTTCAATGCGACCAACTTTTGGCTGAGGGTCACTTCAGAATTCCTTATAAACTCGGAAATAAGAAAATAAAAACAAAACATCAAAATGAAATATATACCCCTTGGAAGTCAAAACCCCTTTCAACCCCCTTTAAAACCCATGTATAACCCCCTTGCCGCTCTTTAATACCCATGTACACTACCTCTACAAGGCACTCTGCCCATGGAACATTCAAATATAACGACAGGGCGTTCTATTCGAATATAATGCCCGGGCATTATATTTGAAGGGGCGTTCTATTTGAAAGAAAAGTGAGTAAAAACGAAAATCTGATCTTTTTAGGGTAAGTTGAATATAACACCCGGGCGTTATTTTCAGGTAAAGACGGTAGCCTGTCTAGCGTGCTGGGTCATACCAACTCAACATCAGCATCTGGTTCAACGCAAAAAAAAAAATCCTGGATGAAGAAGTCTTTTTTTTCCCCTGAAAGATTTTCCCGCGATGTGGCAGAACCCACCCCACATACTTGCTTTCGGAAACGAGGATAAAAAATCATCTAATTTGGGGGATCCCCCTTGGGTCTCATAGGTCAACGTTTCTAGTAACTTCTACCTGCTTCCGTGCGAGTGCTGTAAAAACTCACTGGGCCATGTGTCACTAATGCAAAATGTTGCAACACCCCACTTTCTCCTTTGGCAAAAGAGTTCCAAAGGAGAAAGTGGGGTTTTGCAACATTTTGCAACATTTGTGAAATCTTGTGAAATAACAACTAATCTACGGGCAGAAACTACGGCCACGTGTTGCTCTTGTGAAATCTGGCACCAGTCCGCCCGTCTTGACAGTATTCAGCCGCAACCGCCCACTTCCTCCTCCGGCAGAAGAGTTTCAGCAGGGTAGGATACGATTACGGTCAATTGTAGATTACAAAGTTAAATAGACAGAAACGAAGGGGGAAGAAAAAAAGAGAAGGACCCGCGAAAGTGGGCCTTTTCTCAAGAGGCACCCCATTGGAGTCCAGAATCGCCCACACAGTGCATTGTATTGGGAAGCTGGACCCGGTTTCCAGCAGGTGCTTCTCCCCATCAATATATGGAGCCTTCAAAAATGGAGGCCACTTATCAGGGATGCTCTCTTATCACCTCGATAAGTGACCCTCCGGTCTGAAGTAAAAAAAAAAAAAAAAAAAAAAGAGGATTCCAGAATCTTCCAGAGTCTGCTTCGGGTGCCACTTGCTCCTGAAGGAGAGCACAGCCAAACAACAGAGAGAGAGAGAGAGAGAGAGAGAGAGAGAGAGAGAGAGGGAGAGAGAGAGAGAGAGAGAGAGAGAGAGAGAGAGAGAGAGAGAGAGAGAGAGCACTGCCTAGATACCTCCAGGATTGTCGTCACCAGTCTGATTTCTGACACACAAAAATCGACACCGAACTACACACTGGGTTGGAACCCAGATCAGGCCAACAACGAACACACTGTCACACTCTACTCCCTTAGCCTCCAAATTCCAGGCAGGATTTTCTTTGCAGTGGTAACACGCTGAATTAACAGGGGATCCGTCTACAGGACCAAAACGGCTGGCAGTGGCAAGCAAAAAAGGAAGGGTTTTGCACCCGCATCAGTTTGCTTTTTCTTTTTTGGCCGCACAGAGGAACTAGCGGTTTAAACCACCAGCACGTTTCCCCGCCATTTTTCTCCGACAGACCTTGCATGCTGCCACAACTTTTGGGGGTCGGCAGCCGGAACAAAACGGCTGGAAGTGCCAGCCAAAATGAGGCCCGTGGTGGTTCAATTTTTTTTTTTGGCGTGCAGGGCGTTTAGAGCCCTGGACAAAGGTGGCTTGGAAGTACTGGTCGTTTAACAGCTTTACCTGCGAAAGCGCATATGTAAAGCAGGTTCAGTGTGAATGTAGGTGTGGAAAGAGGTGCCCCACAATTGTAGCCTCTCTCTCTCTCTCTCTCTCTCTCTCTCTCTCACACACACACACACACACACACACACACACACACACACACACACACACACACACAGCAGGAGCCGAGAGAGGGTGGCCACCGTGAGAAGTACATGGAACCGTTAGTCTAAACAGTCATCACACAGATGTATCACACAGCAGTTATTTGATACAATTCAATTGAATTCTCGTCCCCCTGAAACACTCTGAAAAGTCCATTTGTCTGCATGTACTTGGTCGCTCGATATCTCATGCAATTTTTTCGTCGCGCTACAACAAAAAATTCCCCATGATTTTGGAGTAACGTTCACATTATCCTCACACTAGGACTTGCCTGAATGGATCTGCACATGCCGATTCTTTCAGAAAAGAGCCCTTGTGAGGGAGCACACCCTCTCTGCTGATAAAGACAACAAAAGTGGTACCCGGAAAAAGGCAGTACCGTTCAATCAGGCTGTACTCACACTCGGCCTTACCTAGATGAATCCAACGGTTGTTAGTGCTCTGGAGTCATACAAGAAAAGTCCTCCGTGACTCCTCACTCCACTGCACAATTTAGTAAATGTATATGGATGGAGAGTGGACCTACATTCAAAATGTTTGATTAGACCGAATGGATGCGTACTACGCAGCAGTCCGGATACATGTCAAATGATGAGTAACGGAGCGAGTCCCAAAGTTCAATGTGCGGACAGCCTCAGCAAGTCATGCACGAGGGTAAAGACAATGAATAGAGGGAAAAGAAAAAAGAGGAGGGGGAAAAAAAAAAAGGAACACAACTTGTCACAGCAGCCATTCACTTCTGAGGGCGCAATCACAGACTGTCTTTTCAGACAATTCGTTTCTGATCACTGTGAACTCCGACATGCATGCCCACAGCTGTGACTTAAAAGCCAACACTAGGACTGAATGAATGTGCGAGGCACAGGGCCTCGATATGCCCTACAGGGCCTATTTTTCACACAGTCGGCCGCCCTAAGTGAAGGCAGGCACGACCGAGGCCTACAGGCCATTTTGGGGTCACCACGTACAGACATTGTTCTCCCAACCTCCATCACAGGTTGCAGTAAGCGGGCAATCTGCTGTCTCGCAGCCTGCACAACCGCAGGGTACACAACCCCAACAGCTAGTGCAGCCGCCTGCACCACAGGGTCCACAACCCGGATTGATGCTGGGACTGGGACAAAGTCGGTGGGTTCCAAAGACGACCATCACCTCTCCTAAACCCTTTACAGCGGATAAGAGGGGCGAAGACCTCGACACATGGTTGAGGGCAGTGCCAGTCTATGTCAAGTGCAAACTTACCTTGCCGCACGAGGAAGTGCTTGTGGCTGCCTCCTATCTAGGGGGGGGTGCAACAAAATGGTTGAGTGGTTTAGTGCAACTACAGGGGTACGATCATGACTTTCGCGCTTGGGGGGTCACCCAAAAACTGGACGACTTCCTCAAGTTGGTGGAAGACAGGTGGCATGACGCGATCCTGACACTGCATACCAGGCAGTTTAAGTTAGTAAGAGAGGCCACTGACGCAGTAGAGCATCTGATATCCCCAGATCTTACTCACCTCCTACCTGAGATGCTTTCCCATGCCTCTTAGGAATCAGTTGGCAGGTGAGGCCAACATCAACATGCACAACTTCCCGTCGTTTTAGCAACAAGGTCCTAGACCTTGAAGCAAAGATAGGGCATGGTCAGACACCCACGACGGATGGTAGGAAGAAGTCACTGTCTCCCTATTGGAAAGCGAAGGTACGCATCATGTTCGTCAACAACGATGGTTCTACCATCGAATTCGACGACAACTTCCAGTCCGGAGTGGGTTCAGAGGCCGGCAGCGTAGAAGCTTCAGGTGTTGGAGTAGTCGTTGCCGTAGCTCAAAAAGGTAAGGCGACCGGTAGACGCTGTGGAGGTTCCCGGTCTGGGAGTCAAGTTGACCCCAACGCTCCTTCATGGGAGAAAGCGGGTCTAAGTGAGGACGTGTGGAGAGATCGGTACACGCGGCAGGCTTGTATCCGTTGTGGCCAATACGGTCCTAACCAGTTCAAGTGCCGAAACAAGAAGGCGACCAAAAAGATCCCGCCTACGATGGGGCAGGCATTGGGATCCTCCTCTCCCATTGGCAGCAATGTGGCCAGTAGTTTTGGCACTACTTCGGGAAACGCATCGGGCCAGTAGGAATGGTGGTTGTTCCTGCTAGGGTCGAGGTGGTGGACACACCTCACCATCTCGAGAGACGACCCAAGCTACTAACTCCATAGTCGTCCCGCAAACACATTCATACCCATCGAGCCTATGTTCAATGAATGTGTTTGAATCCTTAGAGGAGCTAGAGGAGTGGTCTAGATCAGACCCACTAGCTTCTTGGATGGCATTGGCTAAAGCCCCTAAGGGAGAGATGTTCGTCGGCGAGGTAATCATCGGCGACCGCAAGGCCGGGGCCTATTATGACACTTGCTCGACAAGGAACTTCATCAGTCGTGCATGCGTTGAGAGGTTGCGCTTACAGGGGCAAGTGCAGCGCCTGAGTCGACCTGTGGAGTCGACCTGTGCCAACAAACATCGCACGGTAGTTAGTGACTACCTCCAGAATGTTGAGTGTTGTTTCCCGTACGAGGGAGGGGAACTGAGACATCGCGTCTCGTTCCTAGTGAGCGATGATCTCCCTGTGGATATCTTATTAGGTATGTACTACCTCTCCGTTGCACAACCCTAGTTTGACTGGGACCGAAAAGTGGTCAAGCACACTTTGCCAGGTGGGGGGACCGCTAGATTACGTAAGTTCAAAGCTAGTAGTCTGATTGAGTCCTACGGATGCATGTGTGCGGCCGCGTTCTATAACTATTATAAGCAAAATCCGGAGGAGGGTATGTATCTAGTCTATGTCTCTGCAGCGGGCGAGCGGGGGAAAATGTCGTCGGAGATAGATGGAGTAGTTGCTAAGTACCCTGATCTATTTGAAGAGCCGACAGGGGTTGTTGAGAGGGAGGTCGTCCACGCGCTAGAAATTATCCTAGGGTCTAGCATCCCGAAGGGTAGGATCTATCGGATGTCTCCAAGCGAGCTTGATGAGCTTCGTCAACAACTCAAGGAACTCGTCCAGAAGGGTTGGATCCGGCCGAGTGTCTCTCCTTATGGTTCTCCAGTCTTGTTAGTACCAAAGAAGGGGGGCACTCTGAGGATGTGCATTGACTATAGGGGCCTCAATGCCATCACTGTCAAGAACCGAGAGCCCCTACCACGCATCGACGACTTGTTAGATCGAGTGCAAGGGTGCCGGTACTTCAGTAAGATAGATATGAAGTCCGGGTACCATCAGATTGCTATACGGCCCGAGGATCAGCACAAAACCGCATTTCAAACCAGGTACGGTCTGTACGAGTTTGTGGTGATGCCTTTCGGCCTTTGCAATGCTCCCGGCACCTTTCAACACGCGATAAATCGGATCTTTCATAACTACTTGGACAAGTTTGTCATCGTGTACCTCGATGACATACTTATCTTTAGTAGGACTGTTGAAGAGCACATAGCTCATTTGGATAAAGTCCTTAGTCTCCTTCGACAGCACAAGTTCAAGATCAACGGTGAGAAGTACGAGTTTGGCCGCACCCGTATCTTGTACTTGGGTCATGAGATATCCGCGGAGGGATTGAAGGTGGCCAGCATTCGTGACTGGCCGCGTCCTCAGTCTGTGACTGAGATGAGGTCTTTCTTAGGGATGATCGGCTACTACCGTAACTTTGTTAAGAACTATAGTATGGTGGCCGCCCCTTTGACTGACCTGACCCGCCTTGACGCCCCATGGGAGTGGACAGACAGGTGCGAGGCTGCTTTCAGACATCTAAAGCATGCGTTGATGCATCATGAGGTCTTGAAACTTCCTGATCGTGACAAGCCGTTCATAGTAACCACGGATGCCAGCCAATATGGCAGTGGTGTCGTGCTAGCGCAATAGGAGGAGCCAAAGTTGAGGCCAGTGCGAGGTTCTTCATCGTTAGGACTGATCATCAGACCCTGAAGTGGATGAGAACTCACCATGTGCTCTTTGATGTCTTGAAGTGTTGGATTGAAGTCGTTAAACAGTACGACTTCGAACCCCAATATCTGAAGGGGGAGTACAACAAAGTTGTTGATGCCTTATCACATAGGCCTGACTTCTCTGGTGCGCTGATCACTTAGTTCGGGCTTGCGTACGATGTCACTCGTTCTATGGTGAAAGCCTATCGCGAGGATCCGTTTATGTCTGAGATCATTCGCAAACTCGAGGCGAAGGACAAAGTAACTTATGCCGATTTGAGTTGGTCAATGGCTTGCTGTTCCTTGAGAAGGTTGGGAATAAACGTTTGTGTGTGCCTAATAGGGAGTCTTTGCGCAATTTATTTTTAGGAGAGTGCCATGACGCCACCGACCATTTTGGTTTCAAGAAGACTGCAACCAATTTGTTGCAGCAGTTCTGGTGGCCCACGATGATGAAAGACACTAAGGTGTACGTGGAAACTTGTCAGGTCTGTCAAAGGGACAAGCCACGAACACAGGCTCCTCTTGGGCTTTTGAAGCCCCTTCCAATTCCGAAAAGGCCTGGTGAGAGCTTGTCCATGGATTTCATGGATACGCTGGTCACCAGCAAGAGTGGAATGCGCTACGTCTATGTCATTGTGGATAGGTTTAGTAAGTACGCTAGGTTAGTCGCAATGCCTGCAACAGCTAAAACTGAGTATGTGATCAAGTTGTTCAAGGAGAACTGGGTCGGAGATTTCGGACTGCCTAAGTCTATAGTTAGTGACCGGGATGTGCGATTCTGCAGTGAACTGTGGAAAGCTGCAGCTGCAGAACATGGCACGCAGTTGCAAATGACATCAGGCAATCACCCAGAAGCGAATGGGCAGGCAGAGCAGTTGAACTGCGCTGTACAACACCTGTTGAGGCATACATCAAGCCAAATCAGGTAGATTGGGATGAGAAACTTGCTCTCATCGCCAGCCTGTACAACAACGCTGTGCACAACGCTACGGGAGTGAGCCCGAACAGCATGCTACTAACTTTCAAACCTAGACTGCCTCTGGACTTTCTACTACCTGAGAATCAGACATCCGCTGCATCGGGGACCTTAAAGTTTGCTTATCGGTATAAGTGCCTGATGCAGCAGGCTGTTGAGCAAATGCATAAAGCACAGGCGGCGATGATAGAGTCAGAGAACAAACACCGTCGCCCCTCTTCATTCCACGTAGGAGAAAGGGTCTGGGTTAAGTCCTCGGAACTGGGACAGGAGCACGGAATCTCCCGCAAGCTCATGCCACAGTACTTTGGACCATGGGAGGTTCAAGATGTCGTTGGGGATGATCCAGATGACCCTTCTTATGTTATTCGCATTCCTGGCTACTTACGCACATCCTGTTTTCCACGCCTCCAAGCTTGCACCATCCAAAGAGATGGATCAGTTTCCCTCTTATCGCTCAATGCTGCCCCCAACCATGGATGGAGAGATCGACATCGACGACATTGTTGACCACAGGGAAATGCCTGTTCCAAGACCAGCAGGCAGGGGACATCCTCCGAAACCGAAGCTGCAATACAGGGTTCGGTTCAGACATCACCCTGATCCAAAGGAGGATAGATGGTTCACACGGGAGGAACTAATGCAGACCGCTCCACAGGTTGTCGCTCACTACGAGAAAACTCTGTAGAAGGGAAAACGCCAGATTATCGAAGATTGAACTTCTCAGAGGACTATCAAAGCATGGAGGGAATGCGAGGCACAAGGCCTCGATATGCCCTACAGGGCCTATTTTTCACACAATCGGCCGCCCTAAGTGAAGACAGGCACGACCGACGCCTATAGACCATTTTGGGGTCACCACGCAACTGGGGAAATTCAGGCAGTTGCGCAGCGCCAGTTGGTTGGAAGCGCCCACACCCAGGCTGCCTTTCATCGCATGTAACTGAGGCAGGCCCTGGGCCGGATACACAAAGAGGACCAAACAAAGGCTGAGGGCAGTTGGGTGCTGGTAACCACCACAGGCCCTCGGCCTGTTTACTTCAAACCGAGGCTCAGCCTCGTGGGGCCTACCGGAAGCTTCTGGGCCAGGGCCCAGTACCGCACTACCGCACGCAGCAGCACGCCACTTCGATATAGAGAAGGGCCAGCCTACGCATTGGACATTCCGGTACTGGCTGCATGCTGCGCAAGCGCTGGCCACGCTCACGCGCTCACGGGCAAGCTGGAAGGAGCAGGCAGCCATAGCCGAGCTGCGCTGCTGTATGCTGGATGGGGCGCATGGTGGTCCTTGGGTGCAAGTGGCATCTGTGAGTTGGGGAACAAGGTTGTGAGTGATACGAGAGACATACCTGGTGCTTGAGGCGTGCGGCATAGGCCGAGATCGGCTCGTACTTCAGGGACCTGCTGACGTCATCAGCAGCATTGTAGTCTAGTCTAGATAGGATCTGCCATTCGTAGTCTGAGCGCCGAGCGCCAGATAGGATATTAACATTGGTTCTTCGTTGATGATGATGAGACCATTCCAGCGTTGTCAAGTATGAGCTTTCGGTGTGCTCTTATTTGGTGAAACTCGTGATGCAATTCTGCTATTGGTTCGAGGTCACGACTATCTGGTCTCATGTGTATGATGCTGTTCGATTTATGAAGTTCGCTATTGCTCATCTTCCTTGCAAATGGCCTTTGTTTTTTTCTTTCTTTCTTTTTTTTGCGGGAAAGCCGGTCCGACATCCCATTGAGTACAATCACGGATGATTGAGAGAAGATGCGGAGATGTCCTGCCAGTGAATGCATGGGCCTATTCAGCCCTACTCACAGTTGTACTTTTCAGATAGAATGTGGCCGAAAACCCAGTAGTGTGAGCGCATGATCCTAACTAGCGGTCCATTGCAAGCAATAGAACCCACTGCCTTGCTCCCTCTCTCTCTGCAACAGGCACACACACACACACACACACACACACACACACACACACACACACACACTGTTACATGTTGCGCCTGCAACAGGCTGCACGGGCCATTTTCAGGCCCGTGTCGTTTTCAGCCCGAAAGCCTGAAAACAAGGGCCTACAGGCCCTGTGTCGTTTCAGCCTGAAAGCCTGAAAACAAGGGCCTACAGGCCCTGTGTCGTTTCAGCCTAAATCAGGGCCTTTCCGGCCCTGAGTCTTTTCAGCCTGAAACTGAGGGCCATTTTCAGGCCCTCATAAGATCGACCTGGAATGAAACTCAGGTACCAGACCAGGGTCTTAGCACAGGCCATTTTGGGCCTGTTTTCAAGACAACCCTTGGTTGAGCTTCAGCGCCAGGGTCTGGCACGTTTTGGCATTGGCAAGAGCAGCCTCCTGGACGGGCCAACACTATATAGGACTGGCCCGCCCTGCAGGCTGCAGGTAGTTCCTAGGTACTTCCCAGGCACTTCACGAGCAGTTCAGGAGGCAGGAGGTAGTCTTCAGGATTCGGCAGCAGCACTCTGGAGGAGCGCTGCAGGAGTAGTAGTAGAGCTAGCAGTAGTCTTCAGCGCTGGGCGCTACTAGCGTTAGCAGTAGTCCTCAGCGCTGGGCGCTCTTAGGAGCGAGAGTAGTACGAGAGAGAGAGAGATTGGGCGGAGGCCAGGAATACTTACCTGCAGCGCCATAGCTCCAACTTCGCCTTCGAGGTACCTGCAGCACAGCGCCATCTTCACAGGTTAGCACCTGGCATATGAGAGAGAGAGAGAGAGAGTTCTTCTTCTTCCTCTTCTCAGTCCACCATCTCCCTCTCACCCTCTCGCTACCTGACTTCACTACATCAGCAGACTATGAGAGAGCGGGCTTGGTGACATTTGGATCCAGACTCGACATTGGACTTCAGACATTTTGACGAGGGATTATTTGGGACTTGTAACAAAGACTCGGTGTTGACGACATTCYCATCTCTCCCCCTMTTCTTCGTSTGTTCCCCTCCTCTTCGTCTGTGCATGATCTGGACCTGGCRCATTCTTCCTGWGTGTAGYGCSAGRCCCCTTCACACCTTGTGATGAGGATGATGTATGTTTGGTCTGCGTTGCGACATTGATTGGGCTAGTCATTGGTATTCTAGCATTCTGCTGCGCTGTCTTGCACTACGTGATAGAGGTCAGTCCCGGTCAGGTCAGGACTTGTATCTAAGTCTTCCCCTGCGCTATAAAGCACCATTTTTGTATGTATCAAAATGTACACTGCTTGTTGAGATTTCACTTGCACTGCATTGTCCATTCAGTCCTTTTTATCACATTGTGGATCCTTGGTTATATATGTACATCGCCCAACTGGGCATGTAACAGTTGGTATCGGAGCACCGCACGTGAATCGGGACAACCTGATCTGACACGTGTGTGGGGACGGAGTAGCTGATTAGTCTTGAGTGATTGATTAGAGCACACCAGTTAGCTCCCAAAATCACAATTTTGACCTCACTGCCGAAAATCGAAATTATTTTATTATCTTTGATTTTCTTTTCCCGCTATTTCTGTTGTGGAAAATCGCAATAGCGCAACACCTGAAATTTCCGTTTTCATTTTTCTTCTGAAAATTCGAAATTTCACTGTTGGAAATCCGGAATATCCTTTTTTCAAAAATTTCGTTTACCTTTTGCAATTTCCCGTTATTTGGAAATCCGGAAGATTTTTTAATCTCCGAAATTCATTTTCGAGATTTAAAAACGGTACGGGAAATCCCTCTTGCAGTTCTGATTTTCCAAACTGCGCGTACTCTCATCTGAGTAATTCCGAATAATTTTAATTTTGTATGTGATTTTATTTTCGGAATTCTCTTATCGGATCATCATTTGCAGTCTGAAAGTTCGAAATTTTTCTCATTCGTAATTTCGCACTTCAGGGGGAATTGGGAGGCCTATTGAACTTGCAAACGAGTACTTTTTTTCTTTTTCTCGAAATTTTTGCAAAGTTCAAACTTTTGTTACTTTTCTTTTTTTGATTAGTGACTCCTTATCTGGGCGATTTATCCCACCCCGTCCCACCTACGTTGTTGCCCCCTCTGGTCTTATCTTCTCTATCGGTCTCCGGGTACCTCCTACGGCGGCATTGATAAGTTGCCATGTCAGCAGGCCACATCAACAGGCCACGTCAGCAGACCACATCAGCAGGCCATGCCAGCAGGCGCCCAGC